TCCATAATACATATATTCGTAATACTTCGCTTTATAAAGGGTGTGTGTATTAATTTCCGACCATAACCTGAACTAGATGCTCAAGAAATTTGACCACTAGGTCATTGCACACATTGTTAAAAAAGATAGAAGACGATTAGAGAAGAAACGTCGGAAATTAATGCACACACCCAATATAAATCATGAACTTACTTCGATTTATTGTTAATAATTAATAAATTCCAATAGCATGTCAATAACATTTGATTAAATCAAATTTCGTGCATAATTTATTTAAATCTTTTTTCCTCTGATAAAAGGTAATGTGGCGCCGAGAAGATGGTGATGAAATGACGATATCTGGTCAAAGCGGTATGTTGATTGAAAATAAAGCTATGATTTAATGCAACACAGTGCTCTCGAAAAATGAATTAAAATCACTTGTATGTAGAAAATACATTTCTGTTATGAAGCAATGCATTCATCGGACATTCATTGGAATTCGAATAGCTCTTAATTCCATCTGTCACTGACGTACTGTCGCATTGAGAATAATGCGAATAAATTCAATCGAATTGTTCGATCTGTTTATGGCAGATTGAATTGTTAATGTATTGTCCAAAAATTGAATGCTTTATTCTCATTTTCTCACTCTCTCCCTGGTGTATTGAAACACACATCTCATTCGAATATGCACTCCATTGATTTGGCATAAAATTCTACGTAGCTATTGAATGCATTAAGTGATTGCATTCTGATCAAATTCGAACGTTCGAGAGTTTGTGTTTTATTTTGGTTTATGCGTAAATATTTGATCATTTGTAAAAAATAAAAAATTCAATCGTTTTAATTCATTTACAGTGAATGTAGTTGACGGTGAAATGCTGACTATAACAAAAGTGAGTCGATTGCATATGGCGCCGTACCTTTGTGTGAGTACTTTTAACCCATACGTATTCATTACTCAATTAATTGTTTAATACTCTGCATTGATTAATTATTCTTTTTGGATTTCTTTCTCTTTTGCAATAAGGTCGCCTCGAACGGCGTAAGTATTTTCTACTTTTTCGGGTTTATTCAATTGTTTCATGGTCTGATTTGATTAATTTTTTCTTTTGAATCTCTCTCTCTCTCGTTTCCAATAAGGTTCCGCCAAGTATCAGCAAACGAGTATTACTCAGAGTCCAATGTAAGTAATAAAATCTGGACATTGCTCAGATAGAATAACAACTCATGCATTTCAAATTGGTATTGCATTTTTGTTCATTTTTTTTGTGTGTGAATCAAATTTAACATTATTTCGTAGCGACACTATTTTTGCATGTTTGTGTGTTTTTTTTCTTTCTTTCTCTTATTTGATTTTGTGTTCTATCTAGATTTTCAAAATGCACAATACAAATTGTTATACATGGTGGAAAAATGAGATACACTACACCCACATGAATTTGCCGAAATTGCGGTCGAAACATACAATGCAACCTGAGCCAAAAAAACACACACACACTGACACACATATAGATACATACACAAAAACACATCACGCTTGCACACGTTCAATTGTCGTCAATATGAATATGAATGAAAATGACGGTTGGACCGTGATTCAACAATAGGTAAAGCTGGAAAATAAAATAACCCTTGATTTCGATAATATGCATACACACATTCCGAGAGAGGGACGTTTATTATGTGCCTCAAATGATGTTACGCTTGCCATAACAATGTGCTCTCTTCTCTTGGCTGGTCGTTGTGCAATGGATTTTTGATGCACTAACGAACATTAACAATGAGCCTAAGCTTGAGCTCAAAATACACGCAAATATGCACCGACAATTGCATGCACTTTATTCAGTATATATAGATATGTTTGAAATGATCAGAAGTCGAAGTTGTAGTAACCGAAAAAGAATGGTACGTGAATTGAGTGAGTGTGAGATATTGAATGCACGTTGCGACCACGAGTCGAAAATCAAACGACCAAAAAGTGCTGAATAGATTCCCGACCCATCACTGTTACCCTTCATTACAGTCAGTTGAATTCACAACGCATCATGTTGCACACATAATTTTCACCAAGGAATGTATTTCCCATTTACCGCGCACGAATTGTAAACGATCACGTCCATGATTATGCTTACCTTTAATGCACACACTGCACTACATTCACTTCAGACGAATACATTGCTATTCGCATAAAATCTGAATTTTCATGCCAATTCGAATTGTGTATAAAACGAAGTTTTCATGGCTTATCAATTGACATTGCCTTGGCACTGTGACGCTATTTATTAGTTTATTTTCCAGTCCGAACACATTCCTTCTCTCTCGCCATCGCCGAATGTGGTTTCACAAAACTAACTTCATGCCATATTTTATGCATATTCGATATATTTTCCATTCACAAAATATTCATGAACTTTAACATATACGTTTTTGTCCAACCCAAATATACATACACTCATACATACCCACACAATACACATTTAAAAAAAACATTCAAACCACCTGCACACACAGTTTACACAATGAGTTCAATTTGAAAAATCAAATCCCCTAACATTTTCTTATGTCATTTAAAATCTCTTTTATCAAGTTCCGCCGATGCTCAGCATTCCAAATCAATTAGAAGCAGCATATCAAGGACAGGATGTTACATTGGTATTCATTTCGTTTAATTAATTTTTGTTTTGTTAAATTATATTTGGAATTTTAATTTTGCCCATAGGAATGTCAGACTGAAGCATATCCTGCATCGATTAATTATTGGACGACTGAAAAAGGCGATATGATCATATCGGGTAAGTGAAATTTACGCCTTTTTGATTTTCAATTTAGTCGGTTTTTATTGTTGTCTTTGTGTTAATCTTTGGCTTTTGAGATATTTAACATTCATTGACATGAAAACGTACAAGTTCGAACTTCGAATAGATGAGTTCACCACCCGATGACCATTTGTGGTCATTTGAAAATTGGTTCTCTTCAATTTCGCACATCACATCATTTGTATGTTTTAGACGATTTACATCTTAAACTTCGGTGGAAGTAGAAAAGGAGTTCACCATGGCATCCCAAATTTTCAATTTTAGAAAATGAGATTGAAGTTTACTGGTCCTGACCACCTTTATGAACTTCGATAATTCAGATGAACGTTTACTTTCAACAATTATAACGCTATGAAAAAAACGATCATAACACTAATAAAAAGTTTAGAGACTTGATATAAATAAATCATTTGTATAGACAATTTTATTGGATTGACAACACGAACCCAAAATGTCAATCGAATTTTTTTTAAATGATAACAATTGAAAAACATAATTGTTTTAATGCACGAACATATCAAAATACCAACCTTTGACAGTCGACTTGGGCTTGCGATTTATTTGAATTTATTTAAACTTTGACATGCGTAAAAATGATATTTTTATGATGAGCTTTCTTTATAGAAAACAATTGGATGTTTTATTTATCGAAACAGTGCGCGTTGTCATGCATTCATTTTAATATTTTCGAATTATCAAGTAGATTCAAATAACAATTGAAAAAAAGAAATATTGAAAAGCATTCCGTCATTTCGTGTTTGTACGAATTGAGTCGTTGAGTTCAAGTGTTTTTGTGACGACAAGCGTCGGCAGGATCGCAAATTAAATAGCAACAGAAATGTGCAAGAATGCGAGGAATACACAGTATAATAATATCACATTCGATTGGCACTCGAGGCAAGTGTGTGGGCTAAAGTTGTGCACCATACTCTCGATTTGAATCGATTGACGTTCTTCGTCGCATTTCAATCGCTCTTTATATATTTGATAACGTGATAACGAACCGTATAAAACTTCAGTTATTTGCATATAAATTCTCCCGTATGATTCTGATTATTAGCGTAATATTATACGAAAATTGGTAGCAAACAAATAACAACAGCCATAAACTGATGATGTATCAACGTACTTGAAGTTACGAAATAACAACAACAACAAAAGCACCTCGATGGATGGCATTTAAATTTTATCGCATAGCAAACAAACAAACACACTCACACACACATCCACATGAAAATACAGTGAGCGTTCACACATATTGAAAGTTTAGCGTTTTCAAAAAAGACATATGCAAATGGCGTTTTCCATACACATAATTCCAAAAAGTTTTTGGTTCATTAAATGCCATTTTATTGAACGACTGAAGAGCAAAAACATTCGATTAGATGCGTGATACTGTATTTGCATTTGTGAATTTTCGAGTGTGTATTTATGGCAAAGTTAGATTATATATAAGTGGAGAATTGTGCGATGCAAAACATCGAATGGGTAGGTCGCATTGAGACTCGTTTATCAAATATTTTGTGGGATAGAGATTGGAGCATTTTATTATGAAATAACTGAAGAATGTACCGTTAGCAGCATAATAATTCATCATCATCGCCACCATAACAAATGCATTGTTTTTCATGAAATTTATACCAATAATACCGCGAGCAATTGCATCTCGAATGATGGCAGCTTTTTATGGGTCATTTATTGGCAGAACGCTTTTCTTTTGTGCCTGTCATATATGCCATTCAAAATATAAACGATTTAATTGATGCACAACTAATAACTGCTGTAACCTTTAAACTATGGATAAAATTTTATTTGTGTCGATTGAACGACCGAATCGGACCATATCAAATTCTCAACTGTCACGCATAGTACAATCATTTCGGTCGTTTTTTGTTTGTGCAGTTATTTTAATTGCACTCGCAAATATTGACCAAAATACCACCGAACTGAGCATAGCTCTACTGTATGTACGAATTCAGTTCAATGGTTCATTGTTTATCGTTGTTTCAAAAGTATCGAATCAAGATGAAGCGCGGTCCTATCGAAAATCAAAATTAATGAGCTATTCAAGTGCAACAGTTGCTAACTTTCTTCGGCCGGGGTGAAAACCAAATCAATCGATCATTTCAAGTATATTAGCAATTAATGTAACAACTAATTAGTAATATGTCATATATTATAAATCGATCCAGATCCCTTGAGCTAGGCGGATAGTTAAAGTTTGATAGAACACACCCACCTCCCGTTTTATCTGTCTGCCATTTGTTCGACATTAAAAACTGTTTCATTTATTGTCGATGGCATTAAACTAAAATTCGATTTCAACGCACAATTCAAATTCAAAATCGTATATTCCGAAATCCGAATTGAAAGCATTAACACCATCGTTAACTTCGATTAAGTTTGGAATTATTTGTTTCAGGCGAACAATGTCAATTATTATACATTATCGTATTCGATTGTTCGATTTCGTGTTAAATTGTAAATACACGCAGCTTTAAATGGCTCATGTTGACCAAATAATAAACATGCTAATAATTACTTTGTAATTTGTTCAATATGTGTTTAATGCATACCCGATACCCGGTTGAATGGTTGGAGACGACGACGATGACAACGCTTGGTCAATAAATTTCGACATTGCTGTTAGCATTTCATTGTCGAAAATCATAGTTAGATATTTTGATATTTACCTAGAACTATCCACAAGAGAAATATGCCATCGAACCATTAACGAGCACAAACACAGTCTCACAGGCCACTTAGCTCATGGGGTAGAACACAAGACACATTTTTCGGGTAACTGTTAGGTTTTCTACTTGTTTAACATGTGTCTACGTTCATTCATTCATTCGTCTCTAGAGTTTCTCGGTTGCCACAGTCGGCACAAAACGTTGGTGAATTATATATTAAGAGAAAACCTCGATGCATGACTCTCATTCAAAATTCAGGCACTTGCCCGAATTAAATTAAAACTTTTTAAATTCTTGGAAATTAGTTAAAACGATTGCCTGCTCAGAGAGGGATTGCCAAGAAATTCGCTCTATTCCTTTCAATTACAAATCTTTTCATAGTTTCTCCCTATCATAATAATAGTTGGAAGCTGAATATGCATTAAATTTAAGTGGATATGATATTGAGAAGGGCATTTTTGAAAATGCAACCAACTGTATTAGTTTCTCTGTTAAGGTCGATATTGCTCTATTTGATAAATAATTTGATAAATAATAATAATAATAATATTTATTCACCGCCAAAACTGGCTGAATCTTTTGAGTTTGTACATAATTTTTATACATTTGTTTGGTGGGAAAAAGGTATGAATCAATGATACACATTTGGTATACATCTGATCACCGTTAAAAACCACATCTTTTAATAAAGATTTCTAATAACTAATTAGCTACTTCTTACAGTAATAGCTAAATAGTTAATAGTAAACTGTTCAAATTACCGTCAAACAGCAAAAAACACTTATAAATACTAAACATTTTCAAATTGCACGCGGTTACAATGAGTCAGAAAATAATTAATAAATAAATAATTAAATAAATAATTGGATAAATAAATAATTTACATCTTTACAAAAATCACAATGTATCACATTAGATCGTTAAAGAAAACAGTGTTATAGTTAGACACCAATGACAAGTTAGAAAAATGGTCATCGCTTAAGGCTAAAAGTCGAGTTTTGAAAGTTGATCGTTTTGATTGCGTTGAAAATAGTTCGTGGACCTTATTTGACATTTTGCACATTTGGTTGATTGGTACTGATGGATTGATTTTGAAGTTCTTGTCATTGATTTTGAAGTACTCCACACATCTTAAGTTACGTCCATTTTGATTGCGGGTAATTTCAGTCTTCAGTGATGGGCAGTGAACGTTATTTTGCATCAAGTCGAAAATGAATAGAATTGATGCGTTGATACGGCGCCTTTGGAGTGATTGCATGTTTAGTTTGCCTAGGCGAGTGCTGAACGATGAAATCCTGTAGTCATTTGAAATATTTGGATACTCCTTGAGAGCAAACATTGAGAATTGACGCAGGCACGATTCTATTTTGTTCTTGTGTATATCATGGTACGGGAGCCATACCAAACAGCCATACTCCAAGATTGATTGTACGAGGGCGCAATATAATGACTTCAGAGTATTGACATCCGGAATATCGTAGCAAAATCTCTTTACGAATCCGAGTGCTGATGTTGCTTTAGCCACGATTGAATCGATATGTTTGATGAAGTTAAGTTTGTTGTCAAAGATAACTCCCAAATCTCTTTGTTCGCTCACTCTCTTGAATTTGTGACTGCCATAAGAGTAGGAACTTACGATTTGCTCTCTCTTTTTTGATATTGACATAACAGAGCATTTGTCAAGATTTAAATGAAGTTTGTTTGCTTCGCACCAATTTTTTAATTTATTGATTGCAACTTGAAGTTTGATACAGTCATTGGTGTTAGCGATTGAAGTTGCCAATTTCAAATCGTCAGCAAACAGAGAGATAAAAATGTCTTCATCCTTAATGGAATTAACAATGTCGTTGATGAAAAGCAGAAATAGGGTGGGGCCCAAGTGACTTCCCTGAGGAACTCCTGAGTTAACGACAAACTCACTTGACTCCATTTGCCCATATTTCACGAATTGACGACGATTTGACAAATACGATTTGATCCATTCGATTAAGTTAGGAGGCAGATTGAAGTTTTGTAGTTTTGAAATCAGAATCGAATGATCAACAATGTCGAATGCCTTACTGAAGTCAGTATAAAGTACTTCTACCTGCTTATCTTCGTTCACTGCCTTCATAGAATAGTGCAGGAATTCTAAAAGATTCATCGAAGTCGAGCGACCTTTCATAAAACCATGTTGTTGTGGAACTATTTTATCGGCTACCATCTTGCTGATCTCCAAATTAATCAAATATTCGAAAAACTTGGCGATCGTTGGCAATTTGGCAATGCACCGATAATTTTCAACGTTAGAACGTGATCCCTTTTTGAATATTGGTCCAACGCTGTAACGTTTCCATCTCGTAGGAAAGTGTCCAGTGGAAAGCGAATCATTGAAAATCATTGACAGCGGTTCGTATAATAAGCCAGCACAATTTTTAAGAAGGATTGGATGAATTCCGTCTGGTCCTGCGCCTTTCTTAGAGTTAATTTTTAGTAACTCGTCAAAAACAGAAAATTCGTTAAGAATGAAATTGTCAACGGAAGAATTTGTTTGAGTTGACGCTTGTGCTGTCGATTGAATTAGAGACGGTTGATTTGCAAAATTATTTTTGAAAAATGTTGCAAACATTTCAGCTTGCTCCATCTTATCAACCGATGATTTGTCACCATAATGCAACGATTTTGGGTCGCAGTCACTGTTTTTCTTCGTGTTGACAAAACGCCAGAACGATGTAGGGTCGGACTTCAATGAAGAAGTCATTTTGTCGACATACGAATTGTACAGTTCCGTGTTAAGTTTGCTGTAATTTTCAAGCGCAAGCAAATAGTCAGAGTCATTGTTAGTTGACTTCGATCTTTTCCACTCCTTGTTCTTTTTATTTTTGAGAGACTGAAGTTGCTTGTTGTTCCACGGACATTTCGATGTAATCTTTTTCGTTCGAACAGGTACGAACTTTTCAATCGCCTCGTTAATAATTTGGTGCAAAATGTCGACTTTATGGTCAAGAGGCTTATTTGAAAAGTGTTCGGAAAAATCGATTTCGGCAAAGTACCTATTCATTGCAATGTAGTCGGCTTTAAGGAAGTTTCTAGTTGGAATTTGCTCTTGAGTTAAGTTATTTATGTGCCATTCATACGTCAAGAGAATAGGTGGATGATATTGTTCATCAATGGCAGATAAAGGCGGTGGACAAGAAACTTCGACGTTCGTGAAATCGTTCGTAAATATTAAATCGAGCAGTTTATTGCTGGCATTGCGAATAGAATTAATCTGATAGACACCATTGGCAGTGATGTCTTCGATAAAAACCGCCGCATGCTGTGGAGTGACGCAAGTTGGAATGAGAACATTATGTTCATCGTCATCCATAATCCAATTGACAAGGGGTAGATTAAAATCTCCCAATACAATAATAGTGTCAATTGGGCTCGATGGAATATGGCTTATGGCAATCGAGTGGCGTTTGTATATTTCCGGCTGTGAGTTAGGCGGAATATACGCAGCATAAATAAATACGTTGAGTTTTGTATTAATGCTGACTTTAACGCAGACATATTCCAATTCACTTGTGTCATCGAATACAATGTTGGTGGATGTTAGTTTTGAGGTGACTGCGATGAGTACACCACCACCACGACTTAACAATGAACCAGTCTCAAAACGATCCTTACGGTAAACATGGTATGAATTGTCAAAGAATTCTGACGAAAAATGAGACTGGTTCAACCATGTTTCCGTTAAAACAACAATCGAATGTGCAAATGCCGACGAATTGCAGAAAAATTGTTTTGATTTGGTGCGCAAGCCACGAACATTTTGATAATAAATATCATTGCACACCAAAGTCGTTGGAGGAGAGAGAGAGTGATTTGTGTTGCTTAGTTGCGACGATTTTGTTGAGGCTGACTGTACGAACCCATCAGTGGACTGAGTAGGCACTGAGACAGCAGCGGCAACAAGTTGGCAATCGATGGAATTTCCGGTGAAATTGTTTGCCTTTGATGTGGCTTTCGTCGATTTCGACCAAGAATTGGTGGCCTGAACGAGGCATGATCCTTGTTTTTTGGATTCTTTACGGTCCGTTTGGGAGGTGGAACTGATTTAGAGTTGTTTTTGCCAGGCAGTGAATTTTCAACAAACTCTTTGGCTTTAACGCCCGGTGGCCAAATGGAACTGTCCATAATAATGTCGAAATAACGATTAGGCACTTCTATTTTAAAGGAAACGAACGATAATTTCCTTGTGTCTTTATTTTGGCTCACCAGTTTGATCACCTTCAAGTCACCTACAACACTGTAACATTGGTGTGATTTCAAATGATCGGTGATATCATCGACAGTAGTATCAGGCCGAAACGGTGAAATATAGACCGTTTTTGTTTCATACAATTTTGAGTTAATTGTATGACCGACCCGATGACCAAAATCACCATTTGCCACTTTGGAATTCAAATTCTTGTTAGGATTTGAGGTGGCTGTAATATTCCTGCCAACGACTTTTGACTGGAGATGTGAAACCGCTATTGAATTAGGCTCTGAGCTAGCCTTTGTCACATTCGTTGGCTTTGACACCTTCTTTTTGCGTGGATTTGACACTGTATTTGTCGACACATTTGATCTAGTCGATGGACTGACAGATCTACAACGCTTGCGTAAAACTTTTGGCTTTGGTCGCACGGTCGGAACATCATTTGTCAAAATATCACACGAAATCGAAATTATGCTGGTGTCATTGCTTTCGTTAACAACAGGGTCAATCACATCGGTACTGTTTGCATCGATATCAACAACGATATTGGTATCGATTTCCATCTGATTGATCGTAGTCGATGGAATGTCAGTATGAATTACTGAAGACTGTGTCAAAATAGGAGCGGGTAGTGATAAATTCGCGCTATTTATTTGTTTTGCCGAAGTGGCTGCGTTGGAAACCTTCAATTGTTCCAATTGAGGTTGTACAGTGGATTGAAATTCCGATATGATTTTGGCACTATTCACGAGAGTTGATGCGATGCCATTTACCGTAAAGGTCAAACATATATCGCAATACCACTGTAAATTCTTTATTGAAACTAGATAATTTATAATCGATTTCTTGTAATTACCATTTTCCATAATTAAACAATTGATATGAAATTGTTTACCGCAAAATCCATAGCAATTTATCACATCTTTTTTGGAATTGGTCGTGGATTTGGCACATAAAGTGCATGTGTCATTCTCTGTATTCATATTTGTAGGTTATACACCAACAAAATACACGGAGAAAAAAAAAAACGAAATAAAACCAACGAAAATAACACTAGCAACAAAAAATGTAACGCGATAAATACTAATTTGGATAGCACAGTGCTTTAAAACAAGAAAAAAATTATCTTTTAGCCAAGAATACTGCTTAAAACAATAAAATAAATAAAAAGAAACACTAAAACTACGGAGCTAAGAAAAAGTGTTGTTTACTGTTTGACAGATGACAGTTGATTGTTTTGCTCAAAGTGATGCAACTATATGATATTTATTACTAGTTATACATTACTATTATCTACTTTGTGATATTGGTAACTGACATTAACTTATTGGATGTTGTCAGATTCAAAACATAATATCGATTGGGCAAATTACTTAAATAAATGTGCTCATTCTATAAGCCTCCTCTGCCATCTGTCGCTCTAGCCCCCATTTTTCTTCATTATATCTTCTGTTCGATAACAAAAGATAAAGAGCTTTGGTGAAGTGAACAAGTTGTTCGACAAAGCTCTATTGATTTTTCAAATAAAAGTGTGCCAATGCTTGAAAAGGCGCCTATTTGGTTCGGTTTGGAGCAACTACATGCTATAAAATGAATGAACCTTTGGCCCTTATCTATTTAACCTGTAATATGTTTCGAATTAGTATCAAAAATGATGTGGTTTATCCTTTGATCGTATTGAATTATCTCAAACGGAAATCCACTGTATCGATATTCAATTTGTTCCGTTTTGTGGCAGGAAAAATAACGAAACACAGATTTGAACTGAATTAACTTGAGAAACACACGAAAACTTTTACTCAAACTATCTCTTGGTTCTGTTCGATAAGCCATTTTTTTGGAATCGAAAAAATCAAGATTAAAGTTGATAAAAGTGTGTAAATGACGAAAAAACAAAACAATTGAATTAAATAGTTCAAGTGATGTCAGATTTTTACACTGGACAATGTATGATTCGAAGTGAATTTTTTTTTCTTCAAACTTGGTCACTTAGTCAATTTTGGGCAAAGTTTTTTTCGCTTTAACATCGTTCGTGTTAACTTTGCCTCAATTTCTAAAAAATGCCAACTCAAATCGCTAAACAACGGCTTTGAACCAAACCCAAATGTCATTTGGCACATCGCATTCAGTCAACTTGTGAAAAATCACAAGGGAGATCATGAAAAAAAATGAGCTGAAGAAAATAAGATAAACGTATCAAAGTAGAATCCATCATTGAATGATAAATAACAAAAAATATTTCAAACGAATCTTTATTCGGTGAGTAAATAAAACGCATTTGCGCGCCTGTCGAACACGGAATAAAGACATTTGTATCGATATAAAACGGTTGGATTAACAACGATAAAGTGGGAAAAAAATACATATCTTTAATCTAGCTACTTGAAGCCTTCAAGGCTTACTATGCAGGATGAAATAGAGAGAAATGTCAAGGAACAACACAAAAAAAAAAATACCGAATAAAACCCTCGTCAGTGTGCAAGAGTTTTTTTCTCCTGGTGTGTACCTTTCGGAATGAGCAAAGGTGATGACACGTTCAACGGGTGCTGAAACTCAAGCGATTCGATTGATTTGAATTTGCAGCATCCAGCTGTAAAAAAGATCATGGTCGTAAATTTAAAGATTTATTATTTTCGGTCGGGCTGGGCAAGAGTAAAAAAATAAACAACATGTTACGGTGTGTGTGTGTGATAAAATGGATGACATCATTTAAGTAGTTTGTTGCAAGCAACACGACACATGCCTATTTCGATTGCATATTTATCAATGATAAATGAGGATCGATTGCTCATTTTCGTTTGCCGCAATTTTCGATGAAAAAGTGCTTTCAGCATCTGGGGAATACCGGGAGGAACTTGCATAAACTCAACAAGAAAGAAAAAAAAAATCAAATATTTTGCTTGCTTGCTTTATTTATGGTTTGTTTTGTTTGCATAAAATATGTATAATCAATGTTCCAAACGTTGTATGTTTTTTTGCATCTTTGGTAGATGCGGCAAGATCCGGTGAAAAATACGAGACATCGTCTACAAATGTTGGCTACAGCAAGTACATGAAATTGAAAATTCGAAATGTTGGACCAGGAGATTATGGATCATATCGGTGAGTTAACTGATAATTGATCTAACATAGTCATTCCTCTTATACTGTTCCAAATGTGCTAAATCTGCTAGACACATACATACAAACACACATCAAAATGAAAAGCGAAATTCGATTTATTATTTATATTTAGATGCGTGGCCAAAAATTCACTAGGCGAAACCGATGGACTAATCAAACTCGAAGGTAATTCGCCTGCTGCATTGAATAATGAGAGCATTTGTGATGAAATTTTGTACTAAATTCCATTGTTTTCTATGGAACATTTACGAATAGAACTAATTGCACCGACTACGGTGAAAACAACCGAACACTACATGGAAAATGGTAGAAAATCGAAAGACTCACAAATGGCCGGCGACTATGGCGTGGAAGAGTGGAAAGATGGTGGTAAGTAAATCTGCACATTTTCACACAAGTATTGCTTTCCGATATATTAAAGTAAAATAAAGTTTTTGTTGTTAATGGCAAATGAATTTTATTCAAGATATTACATTTTTAATAGTAGAATTTGGACAATCATTATTCTTTATTTCAACATGTTCATGTTCATGTTCAATTCACGCTTTTAAGTGTTGAAATGTAACTGATTTTTACCAATTAAATCAGCTGGAAATGTATGTTCTGAATATATTTTAACCAAAATGTTGGCCTACATAGAAGTTTATTTAAATTGGAATGTATTTTGACTCATCTATTTCGTTTTGCACTTGTCATCAGCCAAAATCAACAGCAAAGAAAAAAATTCGGCTAATTTACCATTGCATGATATGTTTTCTCAAAATAGAAGTAAATGCAAAAAAGATGTTCTACGTATTTAAAAATGCACGTTAAAATTTAACATGAATACCACGTCGTGTTCTTTTGCCATGGCTAATATAATCGATTTGAATACTAAAGTATTCGGGATGTATCTGGTTTTTTTCTTCATTGAAACGGTAGAATGAAAACCATATGCCCGTGATGAAAAAAAGAAGCAAACTATGCTCTATCTCTATTTTAAGCAAAATTTGAATACAGAAATGCATGTGTAGTAAGTATTACACTATTTTTTTTAATATAAAAATGCTGTTGAATTGTTGGCTGTTATCCACTTATTATTCAATAAAACTTGTTCATATGCAGTTGATTGTGTGTTGGTTTACAAATTTAATATTTGCTGCTTGCTTTTCAATTGCCATTATAATTTATGTATTTCTTTTTCATCCAAAAAAAAATGTTTCCTCTCATTTTTCTTTGCAATGCTGTTGTTGCCGTTGCCCGTTTCGGAATCTTGAGTAGAACACAATGGTGAATATTCAGGTGCATCAAAGCCACCAAATCAACATCCTCCCGGGGCTTACAGTGACGCCATAACCATAACCATTTCAACTCGTTCGAGTCGTGGTTGCTTTTGTATTTTTTATGCTCTTGTACTTTTAGTTAACTGCAAAACTTTATTTTTGGTTGGTAAAATTTTCCACTTGAATAGGTAAAAATTTCCACCACGATCAAACATACATAGAAAAACACAGAAAAAAAACTCAAAAACATATACCTATAGACATATTGTATTGCGTACACATATAAACATGATAAGAACGGAGAATAAGTAAACTGAGTTAAAGAAATGAGAGAAAGAAAACTAGTATTTGTTTAAAATTAAGAGAGAAAACTCGAAACGAAATTCCAAAAGTTTATTCGAAGAAAATGTTCCATTTGTATGTTTGTGTATGTTAGCTGTGCAAGAGAAATGAGTGAACATGAGACGATTCTATTGTTAGAAGTAGTTAAAGTGAGACCGAGTATGCGTGACTCACGCAGTGTGACGCTCGTCAAGAGAAATAAACTGATGTGTTAGTGTTGTAGAGTAGGGCGGTAAAATGTCCGTTATGAATTGAAAACAATGGAATTAAGAAACTAAAGCAGTTGAAAATGAAAATCGACATTTCGCTTATTACGAATTATGCTGAATGAATGGGGGCGATGATGGTGGATTGAATCGAAAATATTGTCGATTTTCTAAAGTAAAACTATATTTTAATTATTTATACACTTTTGCCATCAAAACGCATGAAGGTTGAAGGGGAGGGAGAGAAAACAGTTCGCAAGACGGCATCTTATTATAAAGCAATAAGTGAAAATGGGAAAAGTTTTGTGTGTGAAATCGCTAGAGAATATTATTGACATGGATTGAAAGAAAAGTACGTGCATGTTATTGCAAAACACACATACACACTACCTACATACCGTCATTCACTTTTCCAATCTCTATATAACTATAAGCAGAAAAGTCTGTTTGAAAATTATAATTTACGAGTGGAAATACTACAATCGAACAACTGTATGGCGCACAGTGTAACAAAGCACACATACTACATGGGAAATATAGCTATTTTCAAATTGTGTTGCGATAAGTGTCAAACGTATATCGAATGGGAAGAGAGGAAGAGAAAAAGATACAAAAAACGACAACTTTTTTCATTCATGTTCTCGAAATGATTCCCATAAATTGTTTATTTGTGTTCAACTTTGAAAGCATAGCGAAAAATCAATTTATTTTCCTGTACAAAATTTCTGTTCACTGATTTTGTTTCGACGGTATCGACATTTGTGTGTATATGTGCTGGGAATTAAGTTGCCACACACATTTACTATTTAGCCAAATATCAATAAGCGCACAAATCGTGAGCATCGTGCATTCTCTTTCTCTCCCTCTGTCTCTCTCGCTTCTTGAACCCTCATATCTAAAATGCTGCTAGTTTCCTGCCAACGGAAATCTGGCTCAATTCATTTTGCTGAATAATGCGGTTAATTAGATTCAATTTAAAATTTTCTTTGTGCAGAAATGTGTGTATTCAAAACAACATCCGTGAATCTCGTCTATGCAAATAGCGTAATACAATACCATTGTTATGCATATCTAATACTTGGAATTAGCTGATTATTAACGTGTGTGTGCGCGCAATCCGATAAAACTAAACGCTTCACACATAATCAAAATCTGGTAAATCTCATTTTCATTTCGTTAATTTTGTATGCCAAATGCCATTGCAGTGGCATTTTATCGCATCGTAATATCACTCACGTGCTCTATGTTTATATTAATTAGTGTATTCAATTGTTAGAGAGGGCGTACGTGAATTGAATTGCTTAGCACATTTTTTGTGCCGTTCTCTCAGCAGCTTTTAAAGCTGTGGAATTTCTCTTTTTTTTGGACATAATGACACGGATACTTTTGGGGTTATTAAAATTGACTGATATGTTGGCGTTTTGAACGAGGAGACCGATGGGGGCGAAATTATAGAAAAAAACTCTTTTAGCTCAAATTACATGTCAGTCTGCAAAAACATGGATGCAATAATCTAAACATAGATCCATATAAAAATAACAAACCTAAATACTATTTAAATATTGGTGATTTGTTGAGAGATAATGAAGGATATATATGTAAAAAAGTGACTATTATACAAGATTGAATGTTGCAAAAAGAAACTGATCGTTTTTAAAATGCAACGTCATCTATCTACCGAAGATAATATTTAACTGAAAATTGGAAATTTGATGAACGGTCGTTGGTTTGCGATTTCCGCTCAACATACTATGCACTGATTATCCTTTTGTTGTTTCTAAATATAAGTTGAATGAGTAAAGAAAAACGCTTTGCCATAAATATATAATGACGTTTCATGGATAACAATGAATGAAAAAGCGGCACAAAGAATTGTGGAAACATGTAAAATCAACTAAATAAATATAACATTGAAATAAAAATCATACCAAATACTTTTCAATCACATTAAGAACTTTTTGAATATTCTGTCTTCTGTGGCTGATCCAGTCGTACCACCCAAGTCGTACAAATCATCTTCTGGTAAGTGACATGAAACTTTGTTTGTTGTAACCATATAAATTTAGTTCTTCATTTTCTTCATCGCATGTGCTGCATTTGATTTTGTGCACATTTTTTCTTTTTAAAAACTGATACACCAATTCATGATTTATTCAATGCAACATCGTTTGGCATAACAACAATATTACAGAAAAACTTTACACAAAACATGTAAGTACATTTCACGTCAACAAATTTACTTTGAAGTATTTTATTTTTGTTGTGTCTGCATTATTTGCATGTCGCTTGGAAAAAGCAGAACAATCTCATGTTTCTGTTATAGCTTTTCCATCGGGTTTTTTTGTCGTCGCATGACCTGCTTTTAACATTCGGACATTTTTCAATGGGCAATTTTCAATGGGGCGACGTTACATTTTGGTATATTGCATCAATTTTGAAGCACTGCTTTATATGCTATATATATAGGAAACTCCAAAGATTTTAGGGTTGCTAATGGCGAAAATCAAAAATGGTCCCGGAAAAACGAGTGAGTTTGTTATGTCTAGTGTATCAACCTCTCATTTTAGAGAAACTGAAACAAAGCGAAGAATTTTCAGATTTTGTTTTTTTTATTTAATCGGCACACAACACCTATGACTGCTTTAAGAGTTTTCAAAAAATGTGATTTTTTGTCAAATGACAAGGACCTTATAGGCTAAATGCTCACCTAAATCATTTAATTTAACTTTGAATCGTTCTATTTTGACAAATAGCATAGCAGTGAAACGTCATGTTTGACAGCTACTACGCGTACCAGTAGTGTCATCCAGCTGCTGGAGTCCAGCAGCTGTTTTTTCAAAAAGCATCATTCAATAATGATTTTTATTTCTGAAAAACTCAAAAAATCTTCTTTTTAATTATTTTTTTCGGATGGATAAAAATAATTAATTCACGATTTGGTTCAAAATTGGTCATGTTCTAAAAAAATAACATTTTTCCATTCGCTACAAACTGTCCATTTGAATTGACATTTTTGTTCTTATGCTAGCAACTTCAGCAGCTCGATGTGCACATAACAAATTCAGAATAGACATTTTTTATTTTATAAATTGGTTTTATGTTTCATTTTTTTAAGCGGTACTTTTATCCGTGTTAAATGAATAAATTCTTGAAATATCTACACTGAAACAAAAAAAATCTTGATTCAGCTGCTGGAGTCGGACTATACATTTCAATCACATTCAAGAGAAGAATTGCAAAAATCAACATTCGGTAACTTTTATTAAACTAAAGAAAATTATATTATTATTATTATGCATTTAAAGTTGTTTAAAATTATTTTAGCAACAAAAATTAATAAAAATCCAGTAATAAATTATTGTCGTTGTTTGTTATAAACATAGATGCGTACTGAAATAGTTCGGTACGTTCATTTGACATATTACAGGTGGCGCGTCGAACCGCAAAACTACGTATTTCATTACTATGACAAATAGGTTGTCAAGTTTCAGTCCAAAATTTCGTGCATTTTTGGAATACATGCATTTAAAAAAAAAAATCAACAAGAGTTCATTTGAAATACCAAAACGCAAAAAGAGTACATTCCAACTTATTATAAAATGGTCCGCATCTACATTTTAATGTCAGAGGCAATGGTGTTTTTATTCTGCTTTTTGTGTTTGATACGAGTTGGTTTGGTCTGTAAACAAAATGACTTTTAAATTTCTTTTTATTGCACATTAGAGGCCAGTAAATATGGGAAGTTCTATCCTTATGTGCATAAATTGAGAACTTGAAAGAGTGAGAGAAACGAAGTGAAGACAAAAAGATAGCGACGACAATGCAATAAACACACTGTTTACTAAATGTGAGTCGGTCAACAAAATTGTGACGAGAACTTGAAAAAGTGTTGTTACATTTTTTCACTTTGAAGTTTTTGTACATGGTATTTGCATCTTTTTTCCCAAAAATAATGCGAAACACATGGCACCAAACAGCAAATAAATAGAGTGAATTTACAACGTTGTGATGTGTTTTTAATAATGACACAACTTTTCTATCAACATTGAACGATTTTGTAAAGCAACGATTGCAATCACGTCGATATTACAATCGAAAAATTTGATCAGAAAATGAACATAAATAGATGTTTAGACTAGAAGCTAAACGAAGTTAATGCAACTGTCGTTACATGGATTGTTCCCAAAATTGGTTATTATTCATGGCTGAACGCGATAAACGATTTTCCAAAATTAATTGTTCCAAAAGAATAAAAAAAACGAATGATTTCTGCATATAATTTTAATGGAACAAATTTGAAAACGCCTTTATTGGATTTTAAAAACCATTTCCCGTCTATATTCACTATTCGTAACACTATATATTCATTCAAACTTCGTTTCTATTTTTTTCATGTTTTGCACTTACATTTTATGACATGAGACTAGTTGTTGGGATTAACTCAATGGACGTTATGGTATCGGATAGAAAATGAGTGAGAAAAAATGTGTATGCACTGTGATTTGGGCAAATGTAGAAAAAGCGAATTGCAAATTGTTCGTGGATCATATTGTTAAATGGACGTAAAGCTGAATAGACGAAATACGACGCAGATGGACAGAGTGAGGGAATCAAGTATAGCATAATCTGACCAAAGACGAAAAAAGCATACACAATACACACACACACATGTATATATACCAGCCACTGAATCTATAAAAACTTTTCCAGTTTAGCAACCAATTTTTTGCGATTGCTTGATTGAGATTTTTTCGTTTTCATTTTTTCCACGTTGGTTGTTCGGTCGATGTGAGATTAAGCTTGAACACACACTAACATCCACGGATCATGTATTTCGATTACCTTCGAAATTTCATAACAAGAAAAAGAGAAAAAAAAAATGGGAAAAATCGGTTTTTGCCGATCGGAGCATTTACATCGATAGCATTAAAATAGAGAGAATGAGTGAGATCGAAAACTGTAACAATCGAACAGCAACGGGATACAACGAAATCCCATATCTTCGATATCGATGTTTTTGGCAAAGTGCGTGTTATCCATAATAAATAAATTCAATCTTTCTTTCGGATAAAACGATTGTGCGTACTTTGTCATTATTGCCGTCACTGGTTTTTTTTTCTTCTGTTGTTTTGGTTCTCGCTCTTTCTCACTCTGAACGCACATACTCGTTCGAAAAATTCTGATGGATTTCGATGCGAATATTTTCACACGCAGCGCGTAATAAACAAGCAACACAAACACTTTCCGAGAAGCTGAAAACATAAACTGACAAAATCGAGAAAATACAAAAACAAAAACCCAACGAAAAAACTAGAAATCCAAATCCTAATACTTTAATCCGGCCGTATCAAGCTGCGACTAAGATAACTTTACATCGTCGACAACCGAAATATATACACCAACGGTAAACGATGAAGAAAACTGGAACATCACTGAACACACAATTCAAACTGTTTAGCTAAACGAGTTTTCGATATGAGATTTTTGGCTTGTTTTTGCTGTCGCGAAGAAGACGATACACATGATACAAGGGAATGGAAACGCTTTAGCTTTTATTCGACTTGCTTTTCTCATCTCTTTGTTTCTCTTCTCAATGTGAAATTCACAGTTGCGGTCATATCGATGCTAAAACAAATGACCAAATCGATATAGACTTGTATAGAAACGGGGGGAAAAAGCCACACTTACATTCATTGCATCGCTTTGGATGATACTGTTGCTGTCGTTTGGGTATTGTAAACTCTTGTCACTCACACAATATACACCGTCGACGGAGTTTTTCCGCCTTTTAGTGTTGAAACTTTTCTTTTTGTTTTACGGCACGATTGATGAATCTGAAATTCGGCCACTGGATGCCCAAATATAACGCTATCATATACAACCGTATAAATGTGAACCAGAAAACGTAAGAAGCTCGTTACAAGACAACTTTGAACCCATTGTTTTTGCGAAATAATGATAAGCATCACAACTTTTTCTATCGATGTATCGCTACATAGATGATTACGACCGAAACGAATTGACAATCCAAAAACATAGAATCTCACTTTTTTGTTTTTGTTCGCGGTTTCGATCGAACCATTTAGATACTTTTGGATGTTACCACAAATCACAATGGTCAATTTCTTTCCGATTGTGTTCCAATTAACACTTACCATAATGATAGCATTCAATGACACTTTATCAAATGAGATAATTTTCTCGACTATCGAAACAGGTGAATTAGGAAAATAGCAGAATTTGTCCATGGTGTTTGTCCTTGAATAATCCAATTAAATTCTTTGCAGAGATGAAACTGAAAATCATTTCAATCAATATGACGTGGTTTGATGGAACGGTAAGTAATTAGTTCATGGTCAATTAAAACTCCTCCAAAAACCAAGATAATGTGCATGGTTATCCAATTTTTCAACTTGCTATTTGTAAATTTGGCTAATGACGTATTGATATCGGCATTGGAGTAAGCACTAAACACTCAAGTTATTTCATTTATATGCATTTTTTCTATATATTTGTTTACATTTTATCTTTCGCTAGTCATAATCCATGTAAATCATTTTTTTTTGCATAGAATTACCTATTTTGAAGTTTCAAAAAGGCGAATTTCACTGAATGAGTCAGCAAATGTTTTGTTGGGTCTTTAAAAATACAGAAAATTGAAGTAAAATTCCAACTGAAATAGATCTCTTATGACTGTGAAAAGGCACAGTAAACTCTGGGCACGAAATGCAGCAAAACATTGAATAGAAATCTGTTGATGTAATCATTTGTATATATTCGAAAAACTACATTCACTTGTTTGCAAATGCTATGTTCTTTTTACGGTGCGCCAAATGTATTTATATATAATCCCTCTCCAACAAAAAAAAATTTCAATTCAAAAGTCCTTTATTCATGA